AAAAAAAAAAAAAAAAAGTACTTAAATAAAAAAGAATCTAGTATAATGTAAACACTTGATACATGACAGCCATTATTGTATTAGTAAGGGGGCAGGGAAATAATCCAGAATTATATTAGGTGTTGTTATGACAAAGTATTTGAAGCATGGATTTTTGGCTAAGTTTGAGTCCTGGCTCATGGATGTATATGGTTGGCCTTGGCAATGCTCAGGTTCTTATCTATAAAATGGGGATGACAATAGTATCCACTACACATCGTTGTTAGGAAGATTCTATGTAATATTCCATATAAAACTCTTAGCATAATGTTGGGCCTATTATAAAGATAATAATAAATATTTCTTATTTTATTCAGTATTATTAGTTTTAGAATAAATTTGGTTTCAAGGAACAAAGGACCTACATGTGGCTCCAATTTTACTGTAGGTATTAACAAGCTTTGTGACACAGAATAGATAATTTCAATTGCTCACAGCATTGTTTCTCTTTAAAAAAATAGTTACAATCCTATCTGCTCCTATAACTTTAGAATCAATTGCAAAAGTTAATGGAGCCTTTAAGAATAAAAACTTTAGCAATAATCCCGGGGGAGGAAAGGTGGACTCTGCAGCTGATAAAGCTCTTATATATAAGTATTCAGAGTGGAACTTTCTGTAGGCTTACTCCTGAAATAGATACGGGCTCACAGTCCCTTATCCAAAACTTTGGAGCCAGATGTATGTAGAAATTCAGAATTTTCTGGTTGCAGAAAGACAATATGGTGTCTGCCATTTTATTATGCAATATCTCCAGTGACATCTGAGAAAGTACCCTGTAATCAAACACATTCATGTTTTTATATTAGAAAATATTAATTCACAAGTATTAGGTAGGCTTTAAGAAGCCATCATTAAATACATACCATTCCAGGTCAGATATTGCTGCACAAATGGGTTCAAGTCAGATCAGGTTTTCCCATCAAGTAGGTTTTGAAAAAACTTTGCATTTTCTGTGCTTTTTTGTATTTTGAAGTTGTATTGAACATTTGAGGATCTGTCCAGCCATCCTGTATACTTTTGTGATTTTCTTTCCCGTATACTTTTGGAAAGTTCACTTCCTTGGTACATGGTTCTGAAATGAGAAGATTATATTTAACAGTAATGATGAAACAGCCATTTTAGTGCCAGACATTTGAGGCTGCAAAATCATACACTAAAAGTACTTGGGGGAACGATTTTTGAATTTTAAAAAATAATTGTTGGAATGAGGTTTATGGTTATTTTTGTTGTTGTTCTTCTCCTACAGGAAAAGGAGCCTGTGGATTTCTTAGTCAAATCTCAAGCGGATAGAGAATTTCAGTTCTTTGACCACAATCTGATGGAATCCATTAAAATGGGTGATCCCAAAGTTCATGAATTCCTTAGGGTACTTGCTCTCTGCCACACTGTAATGTCAGAAGAGAATAGTGCAGGTAAGTGAAAAATATGTCTGAATGGTGAGCCTTGTTTCTGTTTTTTAAAATTGAAACTGATATTAAATTTGAAGGATTTACAAATTAAGCATTTGAGCAGTGAGTTTTGTTTTTTGTTTTTGTTTTTTAACACAGAAATTGATGTTAAATTTGAAGGATTTTCAAGTTAAAGATAGGACATAGTTTATATCTCATATGTTTTGAAAAAATGTGGAGAGATTTAAATGGAAAAGGAAAGAAATAAGGACAATGGAAAAGTGAGGACCCAAATATGCTAGTCAAGGGATGACATTGTTCTTACAATTGAGCACCACATTTGACCGTGAGCTTCTGGGTAGCCAGGACAAATAGCGAAATAAAATTGAGTCACACATCTCTCATTATTAGTATGCATTTATAATAGATGCAGATGACCTTCAGGCATATGCTTAGAATGAATTTTTCCAGTAACAGAGATAAATTGCCTTGATATTAGAATAGTCTTATTTAGTCTCCATTATGAGAAAGTCCTCACACTTGTGAGATGGTTGTTTGGAACTCAGGGTTCGTAGGATAGAACAAAACCAGCTGCGCCACTTAACATTTTGAAGCTGTGAGACAGGTAGATAATGGTATAGTGAACTGGCTTCTTGCCCTAGTTGAACCTAATCTATTCCATTTACATGTTTTCCTCAGCCCACTAATTCTTCCTACAAGGTCTTTGGTTCTTTCTCAAATCTGTTTAATTTTATATCTCAATTTAGTTTCTTAAAATCTGTTAAATATATTGCATGTACTGTTTCTGATACTTCCAATATCTAATTTTTTTTCAGATCTTATTCTGTGTTGTTTCTGTTGGTTCTTAGGCTTTCCTTGTTGTTGTTTTATACTTTTCACTGTGAGCTGACCATTTTACTTTGAACTTAATTTATATAAACTTTTTGGGTCCAGTTGGTTCCTCCAGAAAGGATTTACATTTGCTTCAATGTTCTAATGTAAGAACATTTTAAACTAAAGTTTCAACTTGATTTCTTTTAGGCCACCTAGATATTGTGAATTCAGAATGCAAATTTAAATGAGAGTCAGTGTTTGATCATAAATTCTCGGCAGATATTTTTTCCCCTTCCAATTATAAGGAAGGTTCTAGTTAGGCAAGTTTTATTCCAAGCCCTCTTCAAGGGGGCATGGGTATCCAGTTTACCCTTATATTGAGAGCAGTCTTTGGGGTACCCAATTTTGAGAGGCCATCTTTCATTGGACTCTTACCTTAGACAGGTACTGGGCTATGCCTTTTTAAATTAAAGCCCAGAGACACTGAAAACCGATGATCAAATTCTCCTGGTTCAGAAAAATACTCTCAAGGCAAATGCTGGCTAATGTGCTTCTTTAATCCCATAAGTATTTTTTTTTCAGTCTCTGAACTGAACAGTTCTTACTTTCTTGCAAGTTCATGAATGTATTTAAGAATATTAAAATGCTTTTATAGTTGCTTGTAGCAGATGAGGTTGGTCCTGACACCCAGTTCACCATGTTACCAGAAGTAGAACATACTATGTTATTTCATGAGTAGATCAAGTAATTGCTTTAAGTTTTTTTTCTTTTGTGAATTTCAAAAATTCATTCATGCCTGTTGTATCAAGTGAAACAATACAATACAAAAATTTATAAATGTGAAGCTAATGGTAGCTTCCCTGAACTCCAGTCTCACCCCTACAGAGGCAACCAGTGGTAACATCTGGTGTGTATCATTTCACCCTTTCCTCTGGCTCATAAATATATACATATATTCAAGAATATATCCATATATTTAGGTGATTTGTTTCTTTTTAACAAAAAGCAATCATAGTATAGCCATTAATATGCAACTTGTTTAATTAACAGTTGATCTTGCACATGACTATAAATCAGGAAATATGGGTCTATCTCTGCCTAATTAATAGTTTTTAAACATTAAACTAATTAAATTTCAAATTAATATTTACATAAAAATATATTATAATTCTATATAAGGGCTTACTTTGTATATGCTGTTTTATAAACTATATATATGTATATATACATATAACTTATTTTATTCTTTTTATCTCCTCTTCCCTCTTATGCCACTCCAACTACACATAATATCAGGTAACAAGTATTAGCACCCTTGATTTCTTACATTTCAAGGGATTTCTTGTATGAATTCTCATAAAATGGTCATTAGTGGCAGATTGAAGTAGAATTTGGAGTATCTCTCTACCAGTCTTTAGCTGTGTGATCTCATCAAACTCATGTAACCTCTTTCAGTCATAGATTCCGCTAGTACAAAATGGAAAGAATAATTTTAATAATCTCTACCTCAAAGGCTGCCCAGAGGATTATGAGTTAATATATATTAAAATGTTTCAGTTTATGAAACATTCATGGCACATCTCTAGTCACAGAAAATACAAGAAACTGAGCACAGTGAAGAGGCAGACTCAGAAATGGATGTTTTCCTATAAGATGACAAGGGCTACAGCAGTGATATGCATGGAGTCCTTTGGTGTCCCAGAGGACAGATACCTGATTGAGCTGTTGGTAGGTAGAAAAGGTCTGAGGACAGGAAAGATTTTTAGACCTGGTGCTTGAGTTGGTTGTTAAATAATGAGTTGGAGTTGGCATTAGAACTCTATGAATGTTAGCTATTATTGTCAGTATTGACATATTTGTTTCTTTACCTTCTAGGAGAGCTGATTTACCAAGTTCAGTCACCTGATGAAGGGGCTCTAGTGACTGCTGCTAGAAATTTTGGGTTCATTTTTAAATCCCGGACCCCAGAGACCATAACAATAGAAGAACTGGGAACACTGGTTACTTATCAATTACTTGCCTTTTTGGATTTCAACAACACCAGAAAAAGGATGTCTGTCATAGGTATGGTTGGTAGCTGAGACTATTTTTGATCTTTTCATACTGTTTTGGTTATGCTTTTTGAGGATCATTTCATTTTTGGCTACATGCTGAGGTTTGTGATAGTTTTGAAACTTTATGTATAAACTCTTGTGTTCCTCAACCTAGCCTCAATACTGCAGTGACATATAACTAACATTTAACAAGTGCTCATTATGTGCCCAGTACTGTTCTAAATGCCCTATATGAGTATGTACAATATATCAATAAAAATATAAAATACTTTAAAAAATAAACCAAAAAAGTGCTCTCCGTGAATTAATTTATTTAATTGTCCCAGCAATCCTAATAAGGTAGGAACTTGTATTTATACCCATTAACAGATAATGAAACTAAGACACATTGTATTTATAACCATTAACAGATAATGAAACTAAGACACAGAAAGGTTGAGTAACTTGCCCAGGTTCACATAGATTGAAGTAGAATAGCTGAGATTCAGACCTAGGAAGTCTGACTGCATAGCCCACTCACTTGTCCACTACACAGTACTGGCTCAGGATGAGTTTCTAAATTGCTTGGCACATGAGAGTTGTTGTGAACATCATCAACAGCCTCCTCATTATCATTCATTTTCTCTGTCCGCCTCCATTGCTGGAGAGGATCACCTAATATTGTATTTAGCACCATAAAAAATCTGTGCTTTCCTGACTCAATGCTGATTCTTAGTGCTGTGTCAATGTCTCTCTCATTCATATTTAGTGCCTTTTTCCATTTTCACAATAGATATTGTAAACGTTGGCTATTTCCTCAAGTTCTCAACACTGCTACCATCTTCTTTACTCTTGAAAGCTAAATTCATCTCCTATTTCTCTAAGAAAATAAAGGCCCTCAGGAATGCACACCATTAACTCTTCTCCCCATCCTCCTCATTCATCCCCAAGCTAGATCTTTAATAATTTACTCTCCTGCATCAGAAAACAGTTGCTCTTCTTCCTTTTCAAAGCTGAAAGTTTTTTCAGTCCCATTCCTTATCCCTCCTTGCTTGCTCTCTTCTTGCTTGCACCTTCAGTTTTTCAATTACTGGGTCCTTCCTTCAGTCCACAACTGTATTATCCTCCTATTTCCTTAAAGATATTGCTCATATTCTGGTGTCCACTGACTTTGCCACCATATTTTTCTGCTTTCCATCACAGATTAATTTCTCAGGTCAGTTTTTGCTTCTTGCCTTTCTTACTCTTTTCATCCCATTAGGGTTAAGTTTCTCCTTCCACTATTCAAGAAGAAATGCTTTCTCAGAGGTTTCCATTCACCTTGTAACTTCCCAGTCCAATGGCTTTTCCTTATTAATCTGTTCATCTATCTATTTTTTTTAAAACAGTAGTATTTGAGACTGTTGGCCCTGTTTTCTTGACACTCCTGTTTTGGTCTCTGTAAACTTTCTGGTTCCCGATTCTCTTCTTGTCCCATTGTTTTCTTTCTCAAGCTCCTTTGCTGACTACTCTCCTTCATCCCATTCTTCAGTATTGATGTCCTTTTCTGTTTTTAGTTCCTGTGTTCTTCTTGGATGATCTTGACCACATACATGGTGGTGGCTGTTGCTTATATTCTGTGACCTTCTTATACAGCTTTTTAGCTTCAATCTCTTGCTAGAGTCCAAATATACATTTTCCGCCTTCTGTTATGTCTTGTCGCTGGATTGTACTATAGTTACCTAAAGTTTTATGTCAAATATGGAACTCTCTTTTTCACAACTATAGTTCTTTCTATAATCTGTATTAAAATTCATGGTTACCTCTCATTGTATGCCTGCCCATGAACTTTATCATCAATTCTTTTACTGAATTGTTGCAACTGCCTGTAACATGCATGTCCCATTTAAGACAAGAGGAGACTAAACACAAAGATTTTCAAGATTGCCAAAGATTGCCACATACCTGTAACACAACTTGTTGCACAGTTGGGTAAGAGGCAGATCAAATATGTGAACCCAGGTTTTCCAAAGTCTGGTCTTTTAAGCCCTGTTATAGCTCATTCACTTTTTTCCATAGCTTTTGTGCCCCTAGGCTAATGGTTCTCAAACTTTAGCTCCCATCAGCATCACCAGGAGGGCTTGTTACAACACAGACTGCTGGGCCCCAGCCTCTAGTTTCTGATTCAGCTGGTCTGAGGAGGGCCCACCAATTTGCATTTCTAACAAGCTTGTAGGTGATACTAATGCCACTGGTCAGGGAACCACACTTTGGGGACCACTTCTCTAGACTAATAGATCCTCAAATACTATCCATTATTTTCCCCAGAGATGTTTGAGACATTTCTCTAACCCATCTCCTTCTCTTCCACTCTCAGGCCTTAACATCTCTAGAATACTCTGTTGTCACCTGTTTCTAAGTCTCTCCTCAGAGGCATCAGAATAATATTTATTAAAATAGCCTCATAAACCCCTTTTTAATAATAAAAGCTTTTTGTCCTTTTTTCCTAATTTCCAGTGCCCTGCCTTAGTTAAGGTTCTTGCCACTGCTTGCTTGTATTATTGTAATATCTTCAAAATTATTTGCTTTAAAAATAATCCTCTATGCTGTCACCAGGGTATTCTTTCTAAAACATAGGCCTGATTTTACTACCCCCTACTTAAAAAGCATAGGTGGCTTTTCAAACCTTAAAAGAAAAGTCATTAGTATGATGTGCAAAATTATTTGCAATCTGGTATCAACCTACTTTTATTCTATTTTCCAAAACTTTGAGCTCAACTAGACTTCACCATCCCTGGATGCATTGTTGCTGTTTCACCCTTTGGACATGCTGTTCCCTGATCTTGAATATCCCTTTCCCCCACTTTTCTTGGAAATGTTCCCTACTACTCATCTGGTAATGTCCAATTCAAATGTTACCCACTTTTCAATTCTTTTTCTCTTCTCCAAATGACCACATTCCTCTGTGTTCCCCAGAATGCCTTGTTTATAACACCAGTGTGATATTAGTTCCATGACACTCACAACTATCCCAGTCATTAAACTGTGTGCTACCTGAGGCAAGTGCTATACCTTAGTCTTCTTGAACTGCCCAAGGCCAAGTACAGAGCTTGGCACATGATAGGTTTTCTATAAATGTTTGTGAAATACTACTCAACCCAACACTTTGTAACTTATGAATATCGTACTCATTGTATTTAATCAATTTCTTGCTATGTAAAAAGTATATATACATGACAGTAGGATTTTTGGTCTCTAACTACTAGAAACTAGCCTTGAAAGATGGCTCTCAGCAGGTAAAAACCAAACAACATCTGAGAATGTTTATTTTTATTTTTTTGACAACAGGGAAGTCCAGTGCCTGTTGGTGATGACCAGTGCCGCTGATGAGCGCTCATGCCATTCTAGGTGATGGCTTAATGTTGTCTCAGCAGGCGCTATCTTCTATTTGTAGCCTCAGGGGAGGTGTTATTGATGTTGGTTTGTCCCAGAGTTGGTTTCTTTTTGCTCTGAGGGTGTTGACAAAAACCTAAAATTGCTACACAGGGAGATGTTTGGCTTTTCCTCAGCATTGGTCACCATTACAGGCTGTGGAGAAATCGCAGCCTAACCGCAAACATCGGATGTTTGCCTTAATGGATCCCATATGAGGAAAGGTAGTGCTCTACCACAGAATGCATGAAGGTTTGCTGGATTTATTTTTATTCTGTTTGGTTTTTAATCAGGAGGAATTTTAAAGGAACTCTGCAAGGGCAGAAAAGTCTTGGCATGATAACAAGGCCAAAAACAATCCTAGTCTCATGATCATCACATGGGTTGGTCTGCAGGAACAACACCCTGCTGCGAAGGCTGAGGCATTGCTGCTGTTACTGCTGATCCTCCCCTTTCTCCTCCTCCTTCTTCTGCTTCCTTGTTTTGTGGGTGGGAGCCATTATTCACTAAATCATCAATGTATAATTTCAATACCAGTAGTACTATCATTCTGAAGAAAGAGCCCTGATTTAAGTCAGAAGTATCTACATAAAAATTGATTTCTATAAAGGATGTTTTTCCAGAGAGAACAGAATCTGCTGTATTAGTAAAAAATATAAATGAAAATATAAATGAAAAATATAAAAATAAAAAATACAAATAGTTTTGGAAGGATCAATTCTACTAATTCTGTAAATAGAAATACAGAGATAAAATTCAGAGATAACTATTAACAGGAACAAGTGACAGATAACCATTAAAGAAGAATAAATTACAAGAAGCTTCTTGGAAGGCTCTTACAAGATCTTACAGATAAAAGTTGCTCAACTCTAAACTTTTTCGAGATTATCAAAGTACACATCACACTGTCATGTGACAGGCATTTCTCTGTGTAGATGTATGAACAGCTGCGATATGGCAAAATAGAATTATTTACCACCCTTCACAGTGCTGCTGTTGCGATTAACTGGAAGCCATTTGTGACATTTTTCTTTCCTTTACATCACAAAGGCATAGCTTCTGCTTTTGATAAATTGTGCACAATGTTGGTTCATCTTAATTAAGTAAATATTGATTTAAGTGCCCCCTATGTTCCAGGGCCTTCAGGCTAGGGGAGAATGTGAAAAATTGAAAGGTAGTTCTATGTGGCTGCATCCAAGAGAACATGGTGAAACAGACTGGATAGCCCAGCTCTTAATAAGCTCTATATGCCTTGTCAAGGAGTCCAAACTTCATAGAAGGGAGAGGGAAGCTATTGCATCATTCTAAGCAGCAGCGTGAAGATAACTGTAGCTGGAATATACGGAAGAGTCTGGAAGGAAGCAGTCCTGGAATGGGTAAAACCAGTTAGGTTAAGGTGATTTTCTAGGCAAGAGAGAAGTGGCAGAGAGAAATCCATAGCTTCCCTTAGATGTGTGGTTGGTGGAGGGAGAATTGTGAGTGATGCCCAGATTTCTGGTTTTGGAGACTGAGTGGATGATGAAGCTGATTACTGAGACTGGGGATATAAGAGGAGTAGCTAATTATTGGAGGAGGGTAATATGTCTAGTGTGAGTTTGGTGTGACTGGGCATATCCAAAAGATGTTCAATTGGTGGTCGGATGTGCAGGTCCGAATGGAGTGCTAGAGATGGATTGGACAGGATGTACACATTTGAAAACAGCCTGGTGATGGAACCTGAAGCCATAGAAATGAATGCAGTTGCCCAGGGACAGTATGAAGGATGGGAAGATGAAAAAAGACCCCGAGTAAATCTCTGAAGAACACTAATGTTTAAATGGAAAGCATCGGGAGAAGGTTTTATAACCTAAAAACTGTAATCTTTGTCCAAGTTCTGGCCATATGTTATTTTGACCATTTAAAACTATGTCCTTTTTTAGTTTATTTAAGAAATACTAACTTCTCAAATGACTTAGATTTAATTAACTTTGAACAGAAATGACCAGAAGACTTGGAAGGAAAGAGATATAAAACTTGCTGCTAAAGCAAATGTTTAATGAGTAAACTTAAGCAGGATTCTATGAAATTGGATTTACACAAAATCAAATTTAAAGGGACAAATACTAGGTTAAGAGAAAGTATCAGGGATGGAAAGCATTTATTGAATCAAAATTGTACAGCTGTAAAGGACCTTTGAAGTTAGATTGTTTAAACATCTCCTTTTTACATGTAGAAACTGAGATATGGCAATGGTAAGGAATTTACACAAATCACAATCAGTCTGTGATTCTTCCAGACCAGTGACTCTAAATGTGTGGTCCAGGGAACCTTAGGGAACTTTGTGAGTTTTCTGGAGGATGCACAAGGACAAAAGTATTTTCATTATAATATGACTATTATTTGTCTTTTTCATTCTTTTTCTCATGAGTCTACCATGGAGTTTTGCAGAAGCCACATGACATGTGATGTATGTCAACACATGACAACAGAATGAATGCAGAAACAGATATGGGTATCCAACCCTCTTTTATTAAACTAGGTGTTACAAAGATCTGTAATCATGTAAAATAATGCCAATCTCCAAACTAATGTTTTTTGGAAAATATAGTTTTTTTTGTAGAAATGTTATTTATGTTTATATGTTAGATTTATAATAATAATTATAGTAACTAGTGTTATAAAACTTGATATAATAAAATTTCTCATTTTTAATTTCTAATGTGGATATTGATAGATAAAACTCACTAAAAAACTTTTTAGAATCCTCACTCAGCATTGAAGAATTATAAATAAGGTCCTGAGACCATAAGTTAGAGAACTAATGTCCTAGTCTAGAATACAAAATACAGGCAAATGTGGATTATTCATCCTTTGCCTTTATACCTCTGGTGATGGAAGGGAGAAAATATAAGGGAAATTATTAAATTGGATTATTGTACAAGAAAATCAAGAGAAAGTCTTTCCCAGGATTAAGCTTTTCCCCCCTGGTTTAACAATTAGATAAATTGCATATGTTTTTCTCTCTCTTTTTCCCCAATGTAGGGGATTAGAGCTAGAGTACAAGAAAACCCAAATGAATCCTGGCACTTAGGCAAACTAACAAAGGCTCTTAAAACAGAAGACAAGACCTAGACAAGGCCCAGTCCTAAAAAGTTTCTTGGGTACATTATTAGATCTATGCAAGCCGGGAGGAAACTAGAATAGATAAGTGTTGACTAGGGATAGAGGGGAGGGTAACATTGTATTTTGGTTTTTATATTTTTTTAAACTAAGCTCTAAATTTTGTATGCCATTTTCTATGGCATTACATTAATAGTAATTAATAGTAAACATTTATGTTAACCTTTTTTGAGGCATCCTCTTCATAGAGAAAAGGGATAATTGAGTAGAAAGCGTGTAATGATTGTTGACTCAACCGATGAAGCCTGCGAGGGTAAGAGTATTCAGATCATGAAGTTGTGACAAAGGCAGTTGTCTTAAGTTGTAGGCAGTTCTGGGAAGAAATACACAGCCACACCATTCATTCATTCAACGAATAATTATTAACTGGCTACTATGTGTCAAGCTGTACAACTAAACCTACAAAGTTAGGCCAAGTGTTCTGTGGTTTGAAAGAAAGGTTTGTCTAACAGCAATATGCTGGGAGTTGTGGTTGGGAATGGAGTTGAGGGTAGCCTAGGAAGGGCTGTCAATCTCAAGCCTGTGGGGCAGGTTAAAAACACAGTACTACTGATATAGACTTGCAGTGGGAATGAGGTATAGACTTTATTTTTAAAAGCCCCTCTGTGAAGTGTGTTTTCAGCGAGAATTTGTGACCCAACAATGAACCACCAATAATTAATGGACTTTTCCAGAGTAAAAGGGATGAAGAAATATGTCAGCAAGGGCCAAGAAAAAATGTATAAACCATGACTTTGAATGGCTAGAATTGCCTATGGAGAATTTCACACTAGGAGATGGGCAAATAAAGCTCTCAATTCTGCTGAATATGGAGATGAAGACTTAATTTAGATGTATCAACCCTTTGGAAATAGTAAGCAAGGGAAACAGGAGGGTCATATGCTTCAGAATAAAAACACTTGTTTCTGAATTCGGGAAATCAAAGATTCCAGTAGATGGAGCATTTCTAAGTTAATAAATGAGAATAAAGCCAAGTGACTTAGGTAATGACCTAACCAAAGGCAGTGAGTGTCTTACTACTGGCTAAAACATTATGCCCATTTCCAAACTGCCAGGCTGGAGGTCTGGGAGAGTCTAATTTTGATGCATGTCATTGATTATAATCTGCTTTTCCAAACTTTTTTCTTTTCAGTTCGAAACCCGGAAGGACAGATAAAGCTTTACTCCAAGGGAGCAGATACTATTCTGTTTGAAAAACTTCATCCTTCCAATGAAGTCCTTCTCTCTTTGACGTCAGACCACCTCAGTGTAAGTGCCTCCGTCTTAAGGTTAGCACAATGGCCCTTTTGCCATCTCCTATGGTTAGGTCCTGTTTAGAAAAATAGCAGCTAAATGATTTGACTACAGAAATAGAAAGCATCTGGAGAGTGGTTCCACAGGAAGCTGTGCCAATGATTGTCTGGAACTTGGCACAAGGACCCCCGCGTTCTGCCCTGTTGGAAGTCCTGTCAGTCTCACTATAGGTGGAGGAACACACAGCAACTGAGCAGTAGCCACAGAATGCGGGCGTCTGGGGAACCTGCTGTAACTCCCCTGCAGTTTCATGTTGCTCCTCTAGGAAGACTGGACTAGTTCTGGAAAGAGGAGCCAGAGAGCTCCTTTTCCTTGGGTTCTGATGTGTTTGGTACCAGTGGAATATCTTATGATTACTCCCAGGGAAAGTTTAGGGCTGTGTTTAGATTGTGAGAGGAAAATAGTCTCTGGTGCACACTTTCTCCTCTAAGGGTCTTTTTATTCAGGTTGTAAATCATGATGAGTCCCTTGTGTGCCCTCAGACACCCACTTTGTGTATTCTGAGACCAGCATAATTTCTTTACAAAAGCTTTCTGAAAGAAGTAAGGGTGATTTTTGGCACTTTTCTGTTAAATGCCAAAAAGTAAGGGAATGTGAATTAATATGAGCATTACTTGTTTTAAACCTGAGATTCACGTGTGTCTCTAATATTTGTCTGTGGTTCCATTTAAGGCCATCTGGTCAAAACTCGCATTTTCTCATTGGTTTCTTTCCTTTAAGACGTTATTGAGTATTCATGTTCTTTGTCAGACCCTATATTTAATACAAAACATTCCCTGAATCTTTAAACAGCAAATAAACAAATAAAATAAAAAATCCTCTGCTTTACTTTAAATTTAAAAAATGATGGTTTAGTAATATGGTTACAAACATAGCTATTGTTTTTGTCTTTCCAATAGAGAATTCTTGATTTTCTTTTAATCTTTTCCAGGAGGCCAGCATGGTCTTTAAAATTTTTTTTAATGAAAACAACACTGGAATCATAAGTATCTGACTTTTTGCCATTACTCAAACACCAAGGCCCTGGGTTTTCATATATTCTCCTTTGATACTAAACTATAGGAAGCCTAATTTGGTCTTTTTACATTTCTCTGCAAAATAATTTTTTTTCAGGTAATATAAATTTGACTTGCTCTTTGCTTCATTCACTTTGTTCATTTTGACTTCTAGATTCTGAGGTCCTAAATGTTTATTTAATTACTGATTTTGAATTGTTTAATGATAGGAAAAGACCTTAATCAAAGGCTCATTTAGGATTGAATTTGTGTTTCATGCACTAATTAAATAACTTAAATCATCTGTTTCCTTTTGTAATGTCATCTTATTGTTCATTCACTTTTGTGCAGAACAGAGAGGAAGGCAGTGGTAATGCCCAGTGGGGTTGCAAGTTAAAGGCAAAAAAGGGTTTGTGTGAATTAAGAGGACAAAAGATCATTACAAGACAGTAACTAGATTTTCAGATCAGTAGGGGATCCAGTGGTGGTCTTGAAAGGCAGGGCTTACAAAATGTGATTCCAATATCCAAAGTGCTACCAATTGCCTACTAAATAAATTTGGATAATTTTTCTCAAGATCTGTCTGGGGTAAACCATCTCATTGCAGTATGCATTGACTTTTCTATTTACCTAATTACAGTATGTGACGGTTTAACCTACGCCTGGTTATAAACCTATATGTGTACCATAAGCCAAAACACCGCAGAGGAGACATACTCAATGGCAATGCCCAAAGGAGCAGAAATGGCCATAAAAATGCTTTACTTGCAGTGTAGAGGCCCATAAAATGACCACTGGAGGCACAAGCGGAATGGGAGTTTTTGAGCATTTCCCCCAAAGCAATCTGCATATGTTTCTAGTTACCATGGCTGTGTGAGACACTTAGCAACTACCAGTCTCCTCTATTTCTTTTCCCCTACTGTTAGGATAAAGCACCAGAGGTGGTGTTTGAGATTGTCAGGATACAGGATAAAGGAAGAGTGTGGTTCCCCTATCAGTTTGACTAATTTAGTACTAAGTTCATAGAATATAGCTTCTAAAAATAACACTATTTTTTGCACTAAGCTGACTTGATGATGGTGTCTTTAAAATTGCAAACAATTTATTATTATTAAGATAAAACTTTAATATAGCAAAAAATAAAAAGTTTCACAGGGGAGTCTAGAATGAAAAGTGAAGGTCAGCCTCCGTATTTAGTCCTGCTTCCCAGAAGCAACCACTTATATTAGCTTTTCTTCCTTTCTCTCCCCTTTTGCCCTAGAAGTTATGGTTATAACCTTAAGTAATATGCTTAAAATTCTAATATCTGACTATGTAACATCTATTTATTTATTTATTATTTACTTTTAGCTTTTTATTATGAAAATTTTCAAGCATATACAAAAGTAGGATTCAGTTAGTTTTAGGCATAGCATATCACTAGGGGGAATGTGACAAGACTTTGGTGGGATGTCATGTTGTGGTTCCTGGAGAGAGCCTCCTGCCTTTGATTTGAGAACTATGGCTTCTCCAAGGGTCCTTTCCTCTTCACTGAAAGCTGAGGTCCATAAAACACACTGGGTCCCTCTCATGGCCAGAAATGCTTCCTTCTGTAAAGGACAGATTGGAAACAAATATGTATTGCCATAAATGAGTATCTCAAGTCATGGGTGTCATTGATCACCTCTCAACTAGGATACTTCAGCGGGTTTTTCAACTGTCTTTAGGGGGAAGTCTTGCTCCCCTGCATGTTTTAACCTCATAGAAATAAAACGGAAAATACATACATTATCTCCCATTTCTGAGGAGACTAAACAGTTGAGAGTAAGGATAGCCAAGCAGTGCTCTTAGGACAAAATGAATTTGAGTGGAACATTTCTTACCAATTATTTTTGTTGTTGTTATTTCTGTGCTTATTGTTTCTTTGATGGTTTATGAGTCTATGTCATCTCTGGCAGGAATTTGCAGGGGAAGGCCTTCGGACCTTGGCCATTGCACACAGAGACCTGGATGACAAGTACTTTAAAGAGTGGCATAAGATGCTTGAAGATGCGAATGCTGCCACAGAAGAGAGGGATGAACGAATAGCTGGGTTGTATGAAGAAATTGAAAGAGATTTGATGGTATGAGTTTAGAAGCATGATGATTTGTGTTTACAGGAAAGATAATATGTGTTTAGAGATTTAGCATAGGAATAAGCCATTGGCTAAATCATCTTGCACACAGCAGATGTTTCTCTTTCAATTACTGAATCATGCTTTATAGGTTGGCTTTGAGTTTTCCACATATGGTCCTAGAGAGCCTAGAACTGTATTTCTATTAGCAGTAGCTTAAGCAATTGGAAGCTTCCCAAGAGTAGAAGATAGTAGGCTCCCTATTCTTTGTCAACCTCTGATGTGTCCTTGATGTTATGGGATTTTTATTTTTCTCCTTTTTTTATGATCCACCTTTTGAGAGCAGAGAAATTTGCTGTGAAGAATGGGGCTACAGCTCTAAACCATCCTAGGCCATGAGATTCTGATGGTATCTGTGCTATCCAGAGCATGGTCTATTCTAAAAACCACTCTTACCTGAAGCCCCAGTGGCCAGGAGAGTATGCTTTGCTCATCTTTCGATGAAAAATCGTGCAGGAACCTTCACTTTAGTTTATGGCATCTGCTTGTTTGTTAATGTAGAAGAATGACTAGACTTTTTGTGATCAGCTTCCTGACCATGGAATGAAGGCTGTTCTTTGGACCCCTCAGCTGTTGATATAAGTGGGGAAGCAGCTGGGGAGTTCTTAAGTCCAAATGGCTTCTTACTGCTCACGCTAACATGTTATCTGAGCATATCTGCCCCTTCAGGTAAATAATAACTCCCAGGATCTCTGCTGTTAAGTTGGCTTGATTTGGGAGCTTCCTTTTGGAGTCCTTCCCAACCCACTTTCACACAAAATAGGTTGCCTGCTATATCAAAGTATCATAATTTCTGTCTTCAATTCATATTCTTTGGCTTCCAAACTCTGTGAGTGAAATCGTAGATGTTATAGATGTTGTTTGCATGCATTAACATAAGTTTTTCTCTGTTTTTCAATAAAGCTACTAGGTGCCACTGCTGTAGAAGATAAGTTACAAGAGGGTGTTATTGAAACAGTTACAAGTTTATCACTAGCCAATATTAAGATCTGGGTCCTAACAGGAGACAAACAAGGTAACTTGAAAATGGATGATGATGATATTTTGAAAATGGGGAGATGACTTATATCACAAAATTTTAATTAACCAGAAAGGTTAATTAATTATTCATCGTATCTTCCACATAGGAAAGACTTGAAATAGAGAAAAGAAAGTTAATGTATTGCAAGAATTTATTTTAAAACAAACCAAACTAACAAAATGCCTTCCATAGTATAAGCTGGGATCAGCTGAGTTTCAGTCCAATTGCCTCTTGAATGTAGTCATTATACCTAGAGGCAACAATGGTATTAAGAATGTTTAACAGTTGGTTTATATGAACACTGTCCCCAGTCAGGACAGATATTGGAACAGAACTGAAGCAGGATATTGGAGACCTTGGGTTACTCCTTTAGTTTCTTGATGGTGGGGAATTTGAAGGATCTTAGGGCAGGTGTCAGGGTGATGGGAACACTTTGAAGAAGCTCAGGGAAACAGCTGTTTATCAACCGTTTATATAAATATTTTGGTATTTTAATAAGGCTACTATGGCTGTAATAGTGCAACCTGGCTGAATTCCAGGACTATCTATACAAGGTACAGTGAGAATTCATTGACTTTCAGGCTTGACAGAATGCCAAATCATTAGTGAGTCATCATGTTCTACTACATTTCCTATGAAAGAAAAGGGGACCAACATGTTTTTGATCTACTGCTAGCAGTAATGATTAAAACAAAAATGATTTTATGCTTGGCTATTTGTAAACTGAAAATATTCAATTAACTGGCACACACCTGTGTTAAAATTCTATCTACTTATTAGGTATTTTTTTACAGCATTAGGGGATTTGCAGATGTGATAAATCAGTTCTCTACATCTTTATCCAAATCATTGGCCACAAAAAATAAACAGTAGAAAGTTGAGCACTTGGGTGTGTTACTAGATAGAAACTCTCTAGAGTTTGATTTCGGTCAGTTACAGCTGTTCTATTATTACAAATATTCATGAATTTACTATTATTTAGCTTTAATTTCTGTGGTTTATACAAGGTATATGCTGAGATTTTTATCAATTACCTTCCTTAATTTGGGACAAAACTAATGATTCCACAGAATTAGCTACAGTCTAATTATTCTGTACTGTTAGAGACAATCAAATAACTCTATCAGATAGAAGGAGTTATCTGATTATCTTAGGTTCCATTTCTATAAAATTAGAGGAAGAATTACCCAACACCATCTGATTCTCCAGTTCTCTAGGAGAACAGTGCTGGGTGGTTTTTGAGATGATAGTCAAATTCCAAACTTCCATATATTTAATGGGAAAATGGCAAGGTTGTGTTTGAGAGAACTATAAAAATTTTGTAAGACCATTGTTTTTTTCATTCAACTGAACATTTTGTGAGTTTTTTTCCTTCAAATTGTCTTCCATATCAGAATTAAATATTGGCTAAGTTTAGTAGTTTATCTCTCCCAAGACAGTATTTGGACTTCTGGTCAAAGGTTTTATATTTGTACATATTATGTCACAAGATCTTAAGGTATTTTCATGAGTGCTAATTTGGGAATGAAAAGGTTTTTCTGAAAACTAGATGAGAAGGCTACACATTTGTTGCTGTTGCTACTTGGGCATGGGTTTAGCAAGTAGTAAATTTGAGAGGGCCTGTAGGCTGTAAGAAAATACAGCTAAGCCCTCAAAACTTTCATTAAAAATGGACTTACATTATTAAGTAACATTTTAACTGAGTTGGGCTTTATTTTGTTTTAGAAACTGCCATCAACATCGGTTATGCCTGCAACATGCTGACTGATGACATGAATGATGTGTTTGTGATAGCAGGGAATAATGCTGTGGAAGTGAGAGAAGAACTCAGGTAAGTGTTGAAGGAAGGAGGAAAGGATGGAAGGACGAGAGGGAGAGAGGGAAAAAAGATCCAAGAGTTGAGAAAGTGGAAAGCTATGCTGTAGTTTCCTGTGGTCTTAAATTAGTATAAAGTTCTTTGTACCTGTTTCCTAAGCTGCTTCCATTCATTTTGGTGACAAACTGAGATAAAGTTGTTATCAGTATTGAATTATTGTCTTCAGGCCTCCAGCATTTCTCAAGTATTTTTAGAAAAGAATTTCAAATCAGCTATGTTGAGTTGTCCTTTAAAATTGTGCTTTAGTCAGTACCTGCTAACTCTTGCATGGTGATGAGTGATCAGTATCATGAGATACTTGTTAAAAATACCAATTCCCTAGCTCCATTCTGACCTACAAATTAAGAATCAACAGGGAATGGGATTTGGGACTTTGCATTTAATAAACACCTAGATGAAGCTCATGATCAGATAAGTTTGGAAGACACAGCTGTCGTCGATGACATATAAAGATGGAATAGTCTTTCAGCATTAAAGAAAGTAGATATTTTGACATAGTTACTATTGAACCCAGATATATACTGTTCATGTGAAATAAAATACTGTGAAATTTGTGTCACTACTGCACAGTGTCAAAAATATATAAGTGCTGAAATTGGAGGTAACAGTGGACAGATATTAAAGTTTGAGAAATAATATTTCTTAAGATGTACCGATGTATTTCATTTCCTTATTTCTTGTTACTTTATTTGGAGAAGAACATTTAAAAATCTGCATAAATATTTTCCTAGAACTTTAAAAATATTGTTTTATAACAATTTTTGCTTCCTTGTTGCTTGTAGTAGCTTCTCTAAGCTCAACTCACTTAGAGACTGGCCAAGCAGAATGATGACAGAGACAAATTGCTTGTTGCTTGCTCCATTCTAGATGGGGAGCTAACCTTCCTTCAATATAATAGTAGAGCACTGTGGCTTCCCTAATATGTCTTGTCATTAAACTATTCTTCCTGAACTTTAAGAAAAGGAAGTCTTAAAGTCAGCACCTCTAGTTGATGGTACTTGCACATGAATCTCCCAGCTTTTCTGTTTTACCTGCAGTTTAAAAAAAAAAAAACAAAAAAACCCCTGCTATATCATGCTGGTTAGAAACTATGACTAGACACTGCATATGTCTTTGCCAAATAAAAATTGGGAAATTTAATTAGCTACTACTAATATAATTTAAATATTATTATTGATATAATTTTAATGATAGACCCCATAAAGTCAATTGGGGAAATAATAACTTATTTAATAATCAATTAAAATTTTAAAAGTAGATTCTTTACCCTTTGATTTTTGGGTTGACTCTTTTAAAATTGATATATAATATATATACATATTTTTGGGGCACATGTGATATTTTATTACATGGATAGAATGTATAATGTTCAAGTCAGTATATTTAGGATATCCATCACTTTGAGTCTTTATCATTTCTTTGTGTTGGGAAAGAAAGTCCTCTCTTCTGGCTAACTTGAAATATACAACAATGGTTGCTAACTATAGCCACCCTACTCTGCTGTTGAACTTTATAATTTATTCCTTCCATCTAACTATACGTTTGTACTAGTTAACCAGCCTCTCTTCATCCCCCCACTCCTACCCATACAACCTTCCTAGTGTCTGGTATCTATCATTCTACTCTCTGTGAGATCAACTTTTTTAGTTTTCACATAGGAGTGAGAACATGTGAAACTTGTCATTCTGTGCCTTATTTGACTTAACATGGAACCCATGGTTCCATTCATGTTGCTTAAAATGGTAGGATTTCATTCTTTTTTGATGGTTGAATAGTATTCCATTGTATGTGTATACACCACATTTTCTTTATTGATTCATCCATTGATGGACACTTGGGTTGATTTCATATATTTGATATTATGAGTAGTGCTACAGTAATCATGGGGTGCAGATATCCCTTTGATATAACAATTTCATTTCCTTTGAATAAATACCCAGTAGTGGGGTTGTTAGATCATATGGTAGTTCTATTTTTAGTTTTTGGAGAAATCTCCATAGTGTTTTCTCTAGTGGCTGTACCAATTTACATTCTCACCAACAAAGTGTAATAGCTCCCTTTACCAGCATCTGTTATTTATTTATTTATTTTTTAATAGTAGCTATTATAGTTGAAATAAAATCACATCTCATTGTGGTTTTGATTTGCATGTCTCGGATGATTAATGATGTTGAGCATTTTTTTCATAGATATGTTGGCTATTTGTGTGTCTTCTTTTGAGAAACATCTATTCATGTTCTTTGCTTTTTAATGGGGTTGTTTTCTTACTGTTGAATTGAGTTCCTTGTATATTCTGGATATTAGTCCCTTGTTGGATGAATAGTTTACAAATACTTCCTTCCTTTCAGCAGACTGTCTCTTCAGTGTGTTGATTGTTTCCTTTGCGGTGCAGAAGCTTTTTTATTTCATGTAGTCTCACTTGTTTATGTTTTTGTTGCCTGTGCTTTTGAGGTCTTAGCCATAAAATCATTGCCTAGAGACCAGTGTCTGGAAGTTGTTTTCCCTATGTTATCTTCTGGTAGTTATATCATTTGGGGGATTATATGTAAGTCTTTAATTCATATTGAGTTAATTTTTGTATATGGTGAGAGATAGGGGTCCAGTTTCATTCTTCTGCATATGGATATTCAATTTTCCCATCACTGCTTATTGAAGAGGATGTCCATTCCCTAGTGTGTGTACTTGGTGTCTTTGTCAAAAATCCAATGACTGTAAATGTTTGGATTTATTTCTGGGTTCTGCATTCTGTTCCATTGGCCTATGTGTCTGTTTAATACCAATACCGTGCTGTTTTGGTTACTTTAGTCTTATATATTTTGTAGTCAGATAGTGTGATGCCTCTAGCTTTGTTCTTTTTGGTCAGGATTGCTTTGGCTATTTGGGCTCTTTTTTGGTTCCATATGAATGTTAGGATTTTTTTTTCCGTTTCTGTGAAAAATAACATTGATATTTAGATAGAAATTGCATTGGGTAGTGTGATCATTTTAACAATATTAATTATTCCAATCTATGAGCATAGAATATATTTTCATTTGTTCGTGCCCTCTCCAATTTCTTTCACTGGTGTTTTGTAGTTTTCCTTGTAGAGGTTTTTCACCTCCTGGGTTAAATTTATCATTAAGTATTTTTTTTTAAAGCTATTGTAAATGGGATTGCTTTCTTGATTTCTTTCTCAGGTACTTCATTATTGATGTATAGAAACACTACTGATTTTGTATACTAAAACTTTACTGAATTTGGTTATCAGTTCTAAGAGTTTTTGGTGGAATCATTTGATTTTTTTCTGAATGTGAGATCATGTTGCTTGCAAACAGGAACAATTTGACTTCTATGTTTTAATTTGGATGGCTTTCATTTTTTTCTCTTGCCTGATTGCTCTGGCTAGGGCTTTCAGTTATGATGAATCAGAGTATAAAAGTGAGCATCCTTGTCTTGTTCTAGTGCTTAGAAAAAAGAGTTTCAACTCTTCCTCGTTCAGTATGATGTTAGCTGTGTGTGTCATATATAGATTTTATTATGTTGAGTTGTGTTCCGTCTACACCTAGTTTGTTGAGAGTTTTTATCATGAAGGGATGTTGAATTTTATCAAATGCTTTCTCTGCATCGGTTGAGATAACTATATGGTTTTTGTCCTTCATTTTGTTGACGTGATGTATCATGTTTATTACATATGTTGAACCATGCTTGCATTCCTGAGGTAAATTTCACTTGATCGTGGTATATTATATTTTTGATCTGTTGTAGGATTTTTTTTTTTAGTTTTTTGAGACAGGGTCTTGCTCTGTCACCCGGCTTTCAGTGCAGTGGTGCAATCATAGCTCACTGCAGCCTCAGCCTCTTGGGTTCAAGTGATCCTCCCACTTCAGCATCCTGAGTAGCGGGGACTACAGGTATAAGCCACCACCACACTTGACTAATTTTGTATTTTTTGTAGAGATAGAGTTTTGCCATGTTTCCTAGGTTGGTCTCATATTCCTGGGCTCAAATGATCTGCCTGCCTTGGCTTCCCACAGGAGGATCATTTGAGCCCATGAGTTTGAGACTAGCCTGGGAAACACAGCAAAACAAGGCATGGAGCCACCACACCCAAGCCTGCTGTTGGACTTAGTTTGTTAGTTTTTAGTTGAGGATATTTATGTCTATGTTTATCAGGGATATTGACCTGTAGTTTTCTTTTTTTGTTGTGTTCTTCTCTGATTTTGGTATCAGGGTAATGCTAGCCTTGTAGAACAAGTTAGAGAGAATTCCCTTCTCTTCAGTTTTTTGGGATACTTAAGGATAACTTATATTAGTTCTTCTTTACACGTTTGGTAGAATCTGGTAGTGAAGTCATCCAATTCTGGCTTTTTCTTTGTTGGGAGACTTTTTATTGCAGATTCAATCTCATTACTGGCTTTTGGTATGTTCAGATTTTCTGTTTCTTCCTGATTCAATCTTAGAAGGTTGCATGTGTCCAGAAATTTATCCATTTCCTCTAGGTTTTCCTGTTAGTTAGCATGTAGTTGTTCTTAAAATCTTGATCTTATATATTTCTGTGGCATAAGTTGTAATGTCTTCATTTTCATTCCTGATTTTGTTTTTTGGATCCTGTCTCTTTTTTTCTTTGTTAGTCTAGCTGAAAGTTTATTAACTTTGTTCATCTTTTCAAAAAAAAAAAAAAAAATAAAAAAACAACAAGTTTTCGTTTCATTGATCCTTTGTATTTTTTAGCCTATTTTATTTACGTGTGCTCTGATCTTTATTATCTTTTACCTTCTACCAATTTTGGGTTTTGTTCTTGCTTTTCAGGTTCTTTCAGTCATTTCATTATATTGCTTATTTAAAATCTTTTTACTTTTTTGATGTAGGCATTTATTGCTGTAAAGTTCTCTGTTAGCAGTGCTTTTGCTGTATCCCATAGGTTTTGGTGCATTTTGTTTCCATTTTCATATGTTTGAGGAAATCTTTTCATTTTC